AGCCCTATACACCTCAGAATTCATCCTGCTACTTCTGTCAGCAGTCACATCATCAATAAACACCAGTGAGTCCGTTCCATTGGCAGCCATACATGCCCATGCCATAACACTGCCTCCACCATGTTTGACACATGATGTGGTATACTTTGGATCAAGAGCTGTTCCTTTCTTTCACCATACTTTTCTCTTCCCATCATTCTGGTACAAGTTAATCTTGGTTTCATCAGTCCAAAGAATCTTATTCCAGAACATGGGAGGATTTTTTAGATGTTTTCTGGCGAAGTCTAATCTGGCTTTCCTGTTCTTGAATGTTACCAGTGGTTTGCACCTTGCTGTAAACCCTCTGTATTTACATTCATGAAGGTGTCTCTTGATTGTAGATTTTGACAATGATACGTCTACCTTCTCCAGAGTATTCTTGACTTCTGTTGATGTTGTGAAGGGGTTTTTCTTCACCAAGGAAAGGATTCTGCGATCATCCACTTTAGTTGTCTTCCGTGGTCTTCCAGGCCTTTCGATGTTGTTGAGCTCACCAGTGCTTTCTTTCTTTTTAAGAATGTACCCAACTGTTGATTTGGCCACACCTAAGGTTTTTGATATCTCTCTTATAGATTTATGTTGTTTTTTCAGCCTAATGATGGCCTCCTTCACTTGCATTGAGATCTCCTTGAACTTCATATTAGTAGCTCCAGTCGAACAGCTGCCAAATGCCAAATCAATACCTGATATCAACTCCAGACCTTTTATCTGCTTCATTTGTCTTGAAGTAATGAGGGAATGGACCGCACCTGATCAGTTAACTTCTTGTCAGTCAATTGTCCAAATACCTTTGAGCCCCTGAAAATGGAGGTACTTTGCTTAAAATGGCTGTGATTCCTAAATGGTAAATGCCATATTTTTGTGGAACCTCTTAAAATAAAGCTGAAAGTCTACACTTCGATCACATCTTGATTGTTTTATTTCAAATCCATTGTGGTGGTGTATAAAGGCAAAATCACATTCATTGTCCAAATACATGAAACACATGGAGCCAGTTCACTTGAGTCCGGCTTGTCTGAGGACATGTTATTGTGAGGAAAGAAAACAGAGCGAACTCCGGGGAGATATAGAATGAGAGAGGGAGGGAGAAAAAGGGAAAGGGATAGCGAGTGATATGAGGTGATTGGATGCTGCTGGAAAAGAAAACTGAACTGTATGTGTGTATGTGTGTTTTTTACACATGGGGTCACAGCTGGACAGTCTCCCTGGATGGGTGTTGAACATCATATCCTGCTGTAAGGGAAATGACAGACTTGTTTGCCAGCAATGAATGACTGTTTGCCAGCTGTAGGCCAGCAAAACACTCATGAATCCAGTTAGACTGATAGGAATGGATCCAACAATGACATCAGAATAATAATCGAAAAAAAAAAAAGTTGGTAACACTTTCTATGATGACCATATGTATAATGACCTATGAATATATTTGGAACCTACTGGCACTATACATATTGTTACTATTATTTATGAAAACACATAACAGTTCATAGACATGAAAGGCTATCACACCTGACATATACTATAGACTACTGTCTAGTGAAATTTTAGAGGAAGCCCATAATAGGCAGTTGAGAGTCGACAAGCATTGAATTAACAAATGCATGCCAATTTTCAACAAGAGAATCCCCAGCAGCCCAAGAAAAACTCAAACAGTACAATTCTCTGACATAACACTCCCACTCACTGTTTCATTTGCCTCATTTGTAAAGAAATGTATGCACAATTTTTTCAATCATGGCTTTGTTGTAATCAAATGTTGTAATTTTATTTATATAATTTTATTTAAGCAACTGTTGCAATTATGATGTTTTCTGTTTGCAGATAATTGCACTCCAAAGTGCAGTTATCATGTCCACATTATCACCCTAGCTATTTACACAGCCAGCTAGAGGACAATGTAAATTAAACTTACTAATCACATCCTTTCTAATCATGGAAAGCCTGAAAACCATGGACCACAAAGGTGACAGCATTCATTTTGGTCATTTAGGTCTGATTTTTTTTTTTAAAGTAATTCAACTATATTCGATATAGCAGTGTGAGGTAATATCATTAACTGTCCTGTCTGTTACCCCATTCCACTCATAAACAAAATGTTCAAAGACTGAGCATGGGGCAAAGTGATTCTTGCCTCAATGAGCCTCTATTAGCACTTGTTGCAGTTCCCATTTTTGACCACTAGTCACTATAATAACTCTATGGCAAGGGTTCTCAGACTTTTAGCAGCCAGGGACCCCTTTAGCTTAAAAAGAAAAGAAAAAAATCCACAGCCTCTCTCAGTACAGATATTAGGCTCATTATTGAAATGTGCACAATAGTATCCTGGCTATTTATTGGAACTTTTCTTATCTGAACTTTCCATTGAGTGAACACAATTGGTCCAAGTTGACATAATTTTTAGGCAGTTATTAAGGTTTTATTAAACCCATTTAGTAAAGTTAAACACACATATATATATATGTGTGTGTGTGTGTGTGTGTGTGTGTGTGTGTGTGTGTGTGTATTTAGAGCACTAAGATTTTGCAGTATGTTGTAAAGTTGTACAGTTCTGTAGTAATATTTCTGTGGTATAATTCATTTATTTAAAAACAAAATATGGAGTTTCTTTGGTATTGGTGGTATAACGTAATGAACTCTACATGCAATGCATCATGCTGACAATTCATAATGTGTAATAAAGATAGCTATAATAATGAATGTATTCTCATAAATAACTGTAATCATAATGTGTATAATGTGTATACACTTAGGAATTGCATTATATCGCAATGTGAGTGCATCGTATTTCATATAAATTACAGACTATAACTATGATAAAGTAACATAAAAGTATACCTAGATACATAGATAACATAGATAGTGTTACCAAAAATCTTTACAGGCATATATAAAATAAAAGTATACACGGTTTTAAAAAAAAAACAGTGTGCAGCTGATCCTTAGCTGAAAACATTCTCTTCCAGATTTACATCATCCTCTAAAAATTCCCTTGCTTCATCCCATCACAGCAATATCTCTGACATGAATCACATCCCATTTCCATATCCAGATGATATCACAAGCACATCTGAAATCATGCAGGACGGTCCATCAGGCAGCAGGGCGTACTACTTCCTTGTCAATTATTGAGTGGAGTGAGGGTTTGCAGACATGTTGACAGGTCAGAATGAGGTCATGAGCTCACTCAGAAAGGTCTTATTGGCTTTAATAACCTCCGTATTCCAGTTCTGTGGAGTAGTGTGTAATGCAATATGTAGTGTAATATGAGAGGAGTAGTAAAGGTGCGCGCGCACACACACACACACACACACACACAGAAGACAGAGTGCTTATGGAGCTCAGGGGAGGCCTCTGGATTGCTCTAAATGTA